TGTGGATTGGCAGTGTTGAGAATCAGAGGAGTGATGATTTTCCTTTTTGAATTTTCTCCATTTTTCTCTCACCTCAACAATTCTTTTCATTGAATTCTTTTCATTGCTTGTTGTAATGCTCAGAATCCTCTGAAAATTCCACTGAAATTCCCAGCAAATCTGCCATTCCTGAAATTAAGAACTGGCAAAAAAAAAAAATGTAATGAGTCATAAAATTGTTCTCCCAGAATGCAGAACTTAATTAAATCTGGGCTAATCACTCATTTGGAAATTCCACACTCATTCCACACTGTTGGAAAATGAGAATGAGGTCAACTTCCAGTGGTCTCCAACTCATCCAGAGACTCCATAAAAAGTCCTTAATTACCCTGGAATTACTCATCTCTAATTGTTTTTTGTCTTCATGGTGCTTGGGATTTATTTTCTCAGTATTAGCTAAATAGATTTAATTAGTTTATCTACCTAAATGTAATTTAAAGTGGCTTTTGTAACTTTCTTAGGTCATTAAATACCAAAAAAGAGAGAGATAATGGGGCAGTGCTTGGATCTCATCATTGTTTTCCTGGGCTTGGATGCAACCTAGCCTTGCCTGTGGAATTTGGAAATGCAGAGAGCAATTAGGATCAATTATTGCAATTAGAGAGATGTTTCAACAGGAAGGTTCCAGGCTCCAAAAACAATCCCTGGGGAGCAGCAGGGCAGGGATGCCAAGGCTCCTGGAACACCTGGAATTTCAGAGCCTTGCACTTTGGCTCTGGGCTGCAGCCATGGAGCAGATTGGGGGCTCAGCTCAGGCACTTTGGGGCTGTTTTCATGGAAAAATGGGAATCCTGCAGGATTTAATCTGTGGGAATGGGCAGCAGATCAGTGTGGTGAGGATCCAGGGATTTTGACTTGATTTTTTCTGTTTTCCCAGTGAGTTTGGAGCCATTTTTATGGGAATCCTTCAGGATTTATTCCCCCTCAGTCTGGGTGAGAATCCAAGGATTTTAACCTGACTTTTGCTGTTTTCCCAGGCAGTTTGGGACCCTTTTGCAGTGGGAATCCTTCAGGATTTATTCCAGCTCACTCTGATGAGGATCCAGAGATTTTAACTTCTCTTTGCTGTTATCCTGGGATAACAGTTTTGGAGCCATTTTTGTGTAGCAATGGGAATCCTGCAGGATTTATTCCATGGGAATCTGTAGCAGCTTGGTCTGACTGAAGACCCAGGAATTTTAACCTGATTTTTGCTGTTATCCTGGGATAACAGTTTTGGAGCCTTTTTTCATGGAGCAGTGGGAATCCTTCAGGATTTATTCCAGCTCGGTGTGGGTGAGAATCCAGGGATTTTTCCTTGCTCTTTGCTGTTATCCCAGTGAGTTTGGAGCCATTTTCAGTGGGAATCCTTCAGGATTTATTCCAGCTTATTCTGGGTGAGGATCCAGGGATTTTAACCTGACCTTTCCTGTTATCCCAGTGAGTTTTGGAGCCATTTTTCATGGAGCAATGGGAATCCTTCAGGATTTATTCCATGGGAATGTTCAGCAGCCTGGTCTGGGTGAGGATCCAGGGATTTTAACCTGATATTTGCTGTTATCCCAGTGAGTTTGGAGCCATTTTTATGTAGCAATGGGAATCCATCAGGATTTATTCCTTGGGAATGTGCTGCAGCTCAGTCTAGTGAGGATCCAGGAATTTTAACCTGATTTTTGCTGTTATCCTGGGATAACAGTTTTGGAGCCATTTTTATGGAGCAATGGGAATCCATCAGTATTTATTCCCCCTCAGTGTGGGTGAGAATCCAGGGATTTTAACCTGATCTTTGCTGTTATCCCAGGCAGTTTGGGGCTGTTTTCCTGGAAAAATGGGAATCCTTCAGGCTTTATTCCACCTCATTCTGGGTGAGGATCCAGAGATTTTAACTTATCTTTGGTGTTATCCTGGGATAACAGTTTTGGAGCCATTTTTGTGTAGCAATGGGAATCCTGCAGGATTTATTCCATGGGAATGTTCAGCAGCCTGGTCTGGGTGAGGATCCAGGGATTTTAACCTGATTTTTGCTGTTATCCTGGGATAACAGTTTTGGAGCCATTTTTCATGGAGCAATGGGAATCCTGCAGGATTTATTCCAGCTCAGTCTGGGTGAGAATCCAGGGATTTTAACCTGATTTTTGCTGTTATCCCAGTGAGTTTGGAGCCATTTTTATGGGAATTCTTCAGGATTTATTCCCCCTCAGTGTGGGTGAGGATCCAGGGATTTTACCTTGACCTTTGCTGTTATCCCAGTGAGTTTGGAGCCATTTTCATGGAGCAATAGGAATCCTTCAGGCTTTATTCCAGCTCAGTGTGGGTGAGAATCCAGGGATTTTAATTTACTCTTTGCTGTTATCCTGGGATAACAGTTTTGGAGCCATTTTTATATAGCAATGGGAATCCTTCAGGATTTATTCCCCCTCACTGTGGGTGAGAATCCAGGGATTTTAAACTGAACTTTGCTGTTATCCCAGGCAGTCTGGGGCTGTTTTCCTGGAAAAATGGGAATCCTTCAGGCTTTATTCCCGCTCAGTCTGGGTGAGAATCCAGGGATTTTACCCTGATTTTTGCTGTTATCCCAGTGAGTTTGGAATCATTTTTATGTAGCAATGGGAATCCTTCAGGATTTATTCCATGGGAATCTGTAGCAGCTTGGTCTGACTGAAGATCCAGGGATTTTAACCTGATTTTTGCTGTTATCCTGGGATTACAGTTTTGGAGCCATTTTTATGTAGCAATGGGAATCTTGCAGGATTTATTCCACCTCAGTGTGGGTGAGAATCCAGGGATTTTACCTTGACTTTTGCTGTTACCTCAGGCAGTTTGGGGCTGATTTCCTGGAAAAATGGGAATCCTGCAGGATTTATTCCATGGGAATCTGTAGCAGCTTGGTCTGACTGAAGATCCAGGGATTTTAACCTGATTTTTGCTGTTATCCCAGGCAGTTTGGAGCCATTTTTATGGGAATCCTGCAGGATTTATTCCAGCTCAGTGTGGGTGAGGATCCAGGGATTTTCCCCTGACTTTTCCTGTTATCCCAGTGAGTTTGGAGCCGTTTTTATGGGAATCCCTCAGGATTTATTCCACCTCAGTGTGGGTGAGAATCCAGGGATTTTCCCTGCTCCCTTTGCCCTGGGATTTCTGCTCTGATTCCAAAACCCCTCCCTCCCCTCTCTCCATGAAATCTTTGTTATTCCAAGGATTTTATTCCCATTTTTTTTCCTTCTGAAGGAGATTAAAGGAGTTGAGAACTGCAGTGTGTTGTGTCTTTTTTTGCAAAATGAACATCAAGGGCTCTCCCTGCACACTTGGGGGAATTTTCTTGGAAAAATTGGGGAATTCTTCACACAAATTATAAATATTTGAAGATTTGATGTCGTGATTCCAGTTAAATTTGGGAATGTTCATTTTTGACTTCAGGTTCTTTAAATTTTGTCCTGTAAAGGCCAAAAAAAGCCATTTTCCAGTGGGTTTTCCTGAGGCAGAAATCTCACTGGAATATTGGGAATTTTGCCTTGATCTCATGGATATTAATATTCATAAGAGTCATATTGTGAACATTAATATTCATAATATTCGTGTTAATGAACAATAATGTTCATAATATTCATATCAGTGAATAATAATGTTCATAATATTCATATTAATGAATAATAATGTTCATAATATTCATCTTGGTAATCAATAATGTTCATAATATTCATATTAATGAACAATAATATTCACAATATTCATATTAATGAACAATAATGTTCACAATATTCGTATTAATGAACAATAGTATTCACAATATTCATATTAATGAATAATTATATTCACAATATTAAAATTAATGAACAATAATATTCACAATATTCATATTAATGAATAATAATGTTCATAA